ATCCAAATCTTCTTGCTGAAGAAGAAGTTTCCCTAATGAGCCGTAAATGAATTATTATAATGGTAGACTTGGCTCTTCTCAGTGGTAATAAATAGTCTCCGGAATAATCTTCAAATAAGCCTAGAAAAAAAAACGCGAGTAAGCCGTGGAACTAAGAAGCTCCAACTGTTGCTGCTCTATAGAAGCTACACATTTTCTCCCTGCTCCTGAAGTTGCCCTTTTTTGAAAAACAAGCAATTTATGAAATGTATTTGCCCTCTTCCTTTGAATACATAGGAGCTGATAGCCCAGCAGCATAAGATCTTATCTTGAAATCTTCTCTCAGCATTTCATTTTGTTTTTTCGTTGAACTCGTTGTGTACTTTTTCTGGAACTAAGTGATTACTTTCAGCTTATTTTTGAAGCTAATTTTCTTATAAGTAGTAACAACATACGATCTCGCTAGAATTGCTTACTGAGAGCCTTCGTCATGCTTTTTAGGTAAATTTCGTTTCATGCATGAATTTTATTTCGCCGCGTTTGTGCTCTGAGAGAATTCGTTCTAGGCTACAGTAGTCATTTCAGGTAGTCGTGCTTGATAGCGACCATAGTTCAACTGATTGTATTATGTCAATTTGATTCAGTTAAAGTCACACTCTCTTTTAAGACCTCATCTGGTAGCTTCTATGCTTGAGTAGGCTGTCTTTAAGTCACCTTCAGCGTCAGTCTAATCACAAGCCAGTTGATAGGAGCGAAATTAGCGCAGCAATCTAACGGATCGCAACCCGAAATCCTTATCTCATTGATGATCACATGAAGCGGTTTGAGGGATTAAACGCCAGCGTCTCCCATTCTCCAATCATTCCTCAAGCGTTTGATGGTGATCCCGTCATTAAACGGCTGCCATAAAGACTGAAATATTACCACAAACATGCGTGTATAGCAATGATTCGCGTCAAGTCCAGCAAACCTTCATTCGTGTTTGAAAAGATCGTCTGTGAGGATTGTCGCCCTAATTGCTTATCATCATCTGTTCTCGTCGTTCTGCGAACAACTCGTCGTTTGTTATTTGGCTACATTAGGAAATTCCCGTTTCAGTGTCCGACTTTACTACGATCGCCGTTAAGCCACACTGATGCGGTGGCTCGCCGTAATATTCCTCGTTGAGGTTGCGACAGCCACATGCCCAGCCCAGTGCTCTTGTAAAGGTAACGATTTATGAACTGGATTCCCTAATTTTTGAATGAACTCTTTGGAATGACCATCGGTCTTTTTAAAAAAAGCTTGTTCATGAACGTTGCGTTTCCCTTTGAACATTCCAATGGATCGATACTGAAAGGGTAGCAGAATTTTCTAATGTTGCATATATAGTACAAGGATCTCAGTTAGATGTAGGTATAGACTGGAAACGAAAACTCCAAAGGAAATTCCGCAAAGCCTCTAGGAACTGGTCATGTTACGAAGATGGTCCCTTCTTAGAGTGGAAGCTAAATTTTGGTGGCTTTCTTTCTCATTTTGGTCGCAGAATTCAAGCCCAAGTAGTTCTCATTGATTTTTGTTATGAATTTTTATTCTACTTCCGGAAAGACTGGACCCTTAACTTTGGCTCAAGCCAAGGTCTACGTGGCTCAAGTGATAGCAGGCTCAGCGACAAAAATCTGTAACGTAGTACATCGTCCTAAGGAGCTGCTTCGAAAACAGCTGCTCAGGAATTCATGAAGCCTCTTGCTTGAAGTGTAGTGTGATTGAGAAGGCTGCATCTGAGGAGGCATTCTCATAGTCGTTCCTCTGGTCACAGCGAATGCCAGGAGAAATTGACGACATGCTCTGCTGTGCCCTTTTTGTAGGAGTGAACGATAAACCAGATGTCACCTGAGTTTTTCTTCTCTGATATTCCAAGCTAATTAGAGTGATCAGAAAAAGCTGCTTAATCTGCAAAAGCCTGACTGACTACTAATTGGTTCCCTTTTTTGTACCTGCTTATTTTATATTGCGCATTTCTGTCGATGTTCTTGAAGCGGTGTATTCAAGCTGACCTAGAGCAACTGGTCCGAATATGGAGTCAAGGGGGAGGGGTGCGGCGGGGCACTCGACTCATTGAAAAAAATTTCTATGAGTACCAGCGATGTGTCCTTCATCGCAAGACCTCTTCTTATCTTTGCACGAGATCAGTGGTTTGAATATTTTTGAGTTTTTCTACACCCGGTACCCCCCCCCCACTTCGGTTTATGCAGAAGTATGCTTCGCCCTGGTTCGGGCTGCGACGCACCTCGCACTGTACTTTCCTCTCTCCCTCAAACTTAGCCCTCACGTCGGGCCAAATTTGAAGCAAGAAGCTCTTCCCCCGTCGCCCTCACTCATCCCAGCCGCAGGGAGAATTTGGTTTGGTTCTCCTGATCAGCTGTAGATGGCATAGCGTCGCTGACCCTGCTATCACTTGACCCATTAACTGCGCTTCCAAAGCTTCAAAACCCCTTTGACAGGAGGGGTTGGGGAAGGAGTTAGGTGCCTGAACTTTCGTCCGCCTTCCGTACCGCAAACGGCTTGAGCACAGGCGGCGTAGAGGGCGGCTGCGGTTGATTTCGAACACTCTCATCACGGGAACCCAAAGCAGAGTGAATGCAAGAACTAGGGGGTGGAAGAGGTGCGTAAGACAATTGAGGTGAGGCAAAGCTGGAGCGTGTGAGGTAACAGTGACTAGGAAACTATTTAAGCGAGAGGGCGCAGACGGCGGCAGCGGCGTGAGCTATGCAGTCTCTTGGAGGATTTCTCGGAAGGTCGGGCCGCTGCAGCGGGTCTTTGAACTACATACATCGCTACAATGTAAAGAACTAATCGAAGGATTCATCAATTTACGCTGTAAAATCTATAGAAAAAGAGTGAAGCGATATTTGCTACACCAATCTTATCACCAAAGCAAAATTGCGGAAGCAAAGAAATGCAGGATACTTTTCTATCCGTGTGGTATACGATCACTTGCGCGAATCTACAGGGTGGCTACTAAATATTGGCGCATGGTTTATTGATCATATTTCCAAAAAGAGAAGCTATCATATCTTCAGAAGTTTATTTTCATATACAATAAAACATGGAAATTTATTACCCAAGAAAGTGCTCGAGATGGCCTCCTTTGGCGGCGATACAGGCTTGAAGTCTCTTTTCAACTGACATCACCGTGGGCCGCAAGTAACCGACGTCGGCGTGATGTGAGTAGGTTTTCAGACCAGAAGTGGCGCACGATTTACAAAACGACAGGCAGTTGTTGGATCTGGCTAGCAGACATTCTGCTCGACCTTGTGTACACACAAGGAACCGTTTTTCAAATTTGTCATGGTTTGGGCAGGAATTACTTCTGAAACCATGACACCGCTTGTCTTTGTGGATGAATACATCAAAGCCAGCGCCCAGATCTACCGGAAACAATTTTCACGTAATGCCCTTCTTCCAAGGACTCTTTTGACCTTCAGCGAACGTCATTGCATTCTTCAGCAAACAGGGCGCCTCCACATGCCGCAAAATCAATGTTGGAGAACTGTGACCGTCATTTTCCAAGTTACCGGGCACAAAATGTTTGGCCATCTAAGTCGCCCGATTTGAATCAATTGATTTGGCGGTGTGGGGTTTCTTGAAGCAGAAGATGCCTTCTGAGCAACGTCGAAGTTTGGACTCCCTGAAGGCTTCCTTGGAGGAGGCGTGGAAGGAGCTTGACGTCAGCTACTTGCGGCCCACAGTGATGTCAGTTGAAAAGAGACTTCAAGCCTGTATCGCTACCGAAGGAGGCCATCTCGAGCACTTTCTTCAGCAATGTACTGCCATGTTATAAGGTAGGCGTGGAAGGAGCTTGACGTCAGCTACTTGCGGCCCACAGTGATGTCAGTTGAAAAGAGACTTCAAGCCTGAATTGCTACCAAAGGAGGCCATCTCGAGCACTTTCTTCAGCACTGTACTGCCATGTTATAAGGTATATAAAGACAAACCTCTGAAGACGTAAAAGCTTCTCGTTTTAAAATGCATTGTAGCTGTCAACATGTCATAATGCGCCAATATTTCGTCAGCCCAACCTGTATTTTACAAAACCATGCTCGTTGTCGGTTCTTATACAGTGCCACGATAATTGTTTAGCCACTTCGTATTTTATTTTCGGCCTTTCGTTCATTCAGCCTCAAGAAGTGCAATAGTTTCCCTGGGGAGGCCACGGTGGGTTGCTTCTTTATTCGTGAATCTCTTCCCTTTGACGACCGTGTGGCCCGCCGGTGGGCCACACTTTCACTTAGAAGGCGACTCATTTTCGTAATTTATTTGGCATTTTTAAGTGTTTTAAAACTATCCGTGTACATTATCAAAATCGCAAAACAATGTGCTCATTAACTAATAATGAAATTGTTGGAGTGTTATTGGATATTGATGAAAAAATTCAAAAAGAAATGAAGCAATGCACGCACAACTGCAGTCGTCAAAGGGTTAATCACCCCCTAACGTCAAAGGTGTATCTTAGAAACCAAAGGCGCAAAGAAGTGGTTGTGAACAAAAAAATTTTGCGCCCGTGCAGGACTCTCGCGTATGGAGTTCAAACGATGCGCTAGCGGTGTGTGCGAATGTTGCCGTTTCGCCCTAACATAATTCCTATCTTCCGGCTTTCATAATTTCGCAAAACAAACTGGGGTTAAAAAAGCAGCCAATAAAAAAAACGAATTAACAAACGAAAAGTTATCTGGAAGCGCCAATTTGTTTTTTTTTTTAGGCCGCAAAGGCCCCGATTAGCGACAAATTGCATCTCCTATCAGGCCGATATCAGACTTTGCGATTTGAGCGATACGCTAGCGTCCGCGATGCCGTCGTGAGCATGGCTCGATGTACGAACGCGACCGCGGACGCTAGCGAACCGCTGCACTCGCAAAGTCTGACATCGGCCTTATGTGGGCTCCACCGTCTCTTAAATGGTAAATGTTGCCGGAACAGTGGAACCGTTCATTTTTCAATTTGTTTGTAAGAGAAGCTTATCTCAGTGTTTAGGTGATTCGATGACCTGCGTCTCACTAAATGAAACTGCTTTGGCCGCACTCAATGTTCAACTGTCATCTGCAGAATGGAGTGGTCTGAAGGCACTGTCAATCCATGGAGCACCGTTTGTTTCGCTGGATCTGATGCCTGCCCTCGCACTTTTGGAGTAAGTCTCGCACTTTAAAGGGATATGATTCTGCAAGAGGTGCTGCGGTTTCAGAGTGCTAGACTTGAGCAACAACAGTCTTACTGATAGCGCATGGATGAACACGCGGGTAGTGTTCCCATCTGTAAGGAAGCTACTGATCGAGCACAATAATCTCACGGTAAATTTTTAATGTTCATTTTTACACAGAAAAGTAAAAAAAATTGGATTCAGAAAATTGAAAGAGGACTATTGGCACCATTTCCACTATTGGAGGAGTTGCATTTGGGTTACAATAGAATCTCCTACATAGGATATGATTCACTCCGAACGCCTCAGATCAAGACTATTCGCCTGAACGATAACAAGATTCAGGTATTCTTTGCGACTTGAGCGGTGATGACGTCACTCATAAGTTTTCTACTTTTAGACTCTCGGAATGCACGCATTCCGTTTCATTCCACAATTACATGAGATTGACCTGAGTGGCAACAGAATCGAAAGATTTATGGTAAGCTTTCCTTAGTGATATTTCCGACTGAATAAGTAGAGCAAAAAAGAAAGGATAAGAAGTAAAGTATTTCTAATTATTTTTTTAAATATATATGATAAAGGTAAATGCACATTCCTAAAAGGAAGAGTATTGTACTAGGCGGAACCGGCGTGAAATTTCGGGTATGAACGGCAGCATTTACACCCACTGAGGAAGAAAAGTAATCTAGCTCTTACGAACTGATTACGTCGCCGACCTACACCTTATGCAGGTGCAACCAACACCGGGCCGGCTAGCAGAGAAGGACTGAAATTCTGGCTATGAGCAATAGCTTCTACATCTCGGAAGGGGCGTAATTCAGCTCTTTACTGATTAGTTCACTGACTTACAACATATACCACTTCCTGTTCAGAAGATATATTAGCTCTACGTTTTTATCTTGGTTTCCTGGCGCCCTATAGGTTCCGATAAGTGGCCTCTAGTCGCTCGGTGAGCCTGAAAGTTGATCGACCCCTCACTTGAGGTCCCCCCTCGTTGTTCGCCTGGGGTCCCAGACTAATTCATTAGCCATGGGTTAAGTTGGTTGCAAGCCCCGGTACGTTATTCGACTCGAAAGCGTCCGAACGAGGGACAAGGATCTCGTCAGGGACCTTTCGGTCTTCCGGATGGTGAGTGCGGCCTTATTACCGGCTACAGTGTAGGACCTCAATGGCTGCCATCTCAGTTCCTTTTTCTGAACTATTCCATAATCTCAGGTTTATTTTCATTGTTGCGTTTTATTTTCTCTCCTTCTTTCTTTATTTTTACTTTTGTATCATGGATCGCTCAGCTTTACAACTCTGTTTGTCCATCGTGTGCACACCCTTTCAGATGTATTAAATAAATAAATATAAATAAATAAATATACGGATATAATCAGAAATGCAATGAGCACTTGTAGAGGGGTTCATAGTGTACTAGACCAGGATACCATTACCGAATCTGCGAATGCAATTGTGATCCTCTTGGAGAATCATTATGCACTGAACTTTCACGCAAAAGTGCACAAACATGTGAATAGGAGTTTAGCACTAACCAACTGAAGACACACGTTTAAATATGAATGAGCGAATCTATACGAAGCCTCGTCCGATTTTGTTATACATAGTAGCTTTCCTCCATTATTGGTCGACCCACTAGAAATATTCTCAGCTTCAGTTGCTGTAACCCTTAACTGTTTAATTACGAGTATGCCTTTAGAGGCACAGGCTGCGATCATATATTTATGTGTATCAATCGGCTCGAAAATGAAGTAAGAGGTGCCAAAAGGACGGATCGTTAGTGAGGAAAAAATTAAGAGAGTCATAGAGAACTTTGAAATTGAAAACTCCCATTTCTTGGGAGTTTTCAATTGCCGTATGACGGAGAAAGACAGCGCGTGGAGGAGCGTGAATATGATGGAGAGCACATGCATGACAGCATGCAGACATCTCGTATCGCGAGTGAGAAGAAATTGCAGCGACTACAGCGGTCAAGGCAATGCTCTACCGCCCTTATTGCTCACTTTCTAGTCGCGATATTGTCACAACTCTTAGGCACAGGGATCTTGTCTTACTCACCCAAAAATTGCTCTTGGAGTCAAATCGCAACCCGTTCTTTAATTTCACAGTCAGTGGCTCTTTCCCCAGATACGTTCGGTGTTTATTTTTCGAGAGCCGATTTCTGAGCTCATTTGACTTCACAAGTCGTAAATACAAAAAGTTTCTCCCCAACCACCACCGGGGTGAACATCGGTCGGGGAATCTTCTACGGCTCGTCGAGGATTTTGCCTGATCAGTTACGCCTTCCCGCGCCGACATTCACGGCCTGTCATGCGCGAGCCGTCTGCGCACTCCGCGTGTACGTTCGATCTTGGCAGTACTCTCGCACAGTGCAGAGCCATGGTCGAGGAATTCCTCGATCACGCTACTCTTATTCTCCTGAATTCGTTTTTTATTACTGCATATGCGTTCTCAACTGCGTTCAAAGCTACGGTTAGCTCTCTGGTACAAATTCTATGAAAAAGCTTTTTAGATGAGCGATTTTTCGACGGCCACGTCGTTACGAATCTTGAATGCTAGTCGGAACCAGATTCGAAGTGTAGAATGCGATTCGATTGCACCAATGTTGAATGTACGTATCCCAATTTCATTTATTCTATTTTTTTTCATATAAAGGAAGAATGACTGGTGCCGAAAGATTAATATTACATGCTGTGTTCAGCTCGAAGTGCTCGATCTCAGTTCGAATAACCTCACGCAGGTTCCGGGAATTGAATTACGTAGTATGGAGGGATTGAGGACGTTGCTGTTAACCAACAATCCCATCACAGTGATTGGCGAAGGACAACCAAGGCTCGATAGTCTTCAGGTAAATTTGGTTCAATAGCGAGGGAAGCTCCTTATAAGAAAAAGGATGCAGGAAAGTGTAGAAATCTGTAACGCTTCTAGGATTTACCGCCCTTTCAGCATACATCGGAATCGGGCGTAGCAGTCTGATGTAAGCGTGGAGCAAATACAAAGACTATAGAAAGAACGAAGACTTGGTTTAAATTGGCCCAGGAAAATTTTACATCATCTGTCCAATCACAGAGTGGTGAAAGGCGAAGATTTCAGTTGATTCAGCGCCCGTTTCCACATCTCTCAAGACAGGATACCCGAAGGAGGATACCCGACAGGAGGCTCTTCGCGCGGCAGGCAGAGACGCAGACGCGTTAGCAGACGAGTCGCAGCGGCTGCAGCTCAAAGCATGGGAGGGCCGCAGAAATCCGTATTCTACCTGTGAGGAAAGATGGATCTGTTTGAATCTTTCCTTGTCGCGCACTTTATGCCAGAAAACCGGGCACAGCGACATCAGGGCACAGCTCTATCCCACCCGGATTGATGCGCTTGAAGGCATTGTGCGGCCTGCTTTGACGAAGTTCTACAGCAGCGTCAGTATCAGAGCAGTTCACGTGACCCGACATTCTAAACCCTTTTATCAGGACCGAAAGAGATGAAAATCAGTCTTTGATGCTGTTCTTCACCCAATTTTTACAGCACCTACGGCACGGTTACTTCTTATATCGTGCTCAGAACAGCACACTCATGTGCACCATGAGCAGGAACGTTATCATGGTAGAAAAGTAAGGCAAATCGTTACGCTGCCAGAGTTGTCTTATTGCCACATCTGATTGACGTCTATTGGCAGCACGAAAAGCTCCTTACTCTACATTGATGACTCTGTGACATCGCGACATGTCATTTGGGATTAAATGTGCTTCCTCTAAAGCGTTACTCGAAGGTTAAGGCGCTTCGCAATGGACAGCATGTTGAAACGCTATAATCCTTCCTTATGTACGACTGGTTAGATAGTCCTACGTTCATTAAAGGACGAATTCACGATGAAAAAGCAACCCATTTCAAATTAACCTAGGGATGGTGAGTGGTACACGAAAGAAGGAAGAACCATGAGAAACGGCCCAGAACCCGAGCAGGGTCGTCCTATCGTTGTTACTTTTTCGAAAAATTTTTACGACCCCCTCCCCAAGGTGGATTTGGTACGACCCCCTTCTCGACCCTCGACCACCATATTCCTCTCTATAGTATTTAATTCTGGTATCCACTCAACCCACCAAAACCCGCCCACTTTTTCCTCCAAAAATGCCGTCGAGCGGGGGGGGTATAGTCACTCTGAAACCGTAAAAATTACCTAAATTCCCTAAATTTCCACCAATTTACCCCCTCCTACCTTTAATCCCACGCTTCATTTTCTAGGGGGGTATATACGCGCGCTGAAACGGCAAATTTTCTCCCGCGCCACTCCTCCCTCACCTCATGCAACTTCTCACAATCGAAGCAAGTACGACCCCCCCCTCTACAACCTCATCAAAATATACGACCCCCCTCTACAAACTCATCAAAATGTACGACCCCCCTCTAAAAACTCATCAAAGTACGACCCCCCGTTGCTACTTGTAGCAACGTAGGACCGACCCTGCCCCGAGAAGTGGACCCCTTCCTTGCCCGTTGATTTGCGCATTGATGCGACTCTCATCGCTGTGCCCTCTTCTCACTGCGCTCTCTCCGCTATCTGATCAATCGCCACGCATAGACCTGCGGCGAGTGATCAGCTGGTCGGTGGGCGTGCACTGGCCCACCGCGCCAAGATTGAGCCTTAATAAGTCGCCGAGGTCAACTCCTTCGGTGCCAATTGCGCTTCAGTCCGCACCCTTAGGAGGTCCGCGGGTCCCTCAACTAGGTGAATTACTCCTTCTTCGACTTCATTCTAATCGTGAATTCGTCCTTTAAAGGAATGCGATCACGATAAATTGGGACGAATCGGAGAGATGTGCGCCACACGAAGCAGTACCTTGCCTGACAAGCAAGCGAGCTGTGGCGCTTTCACGACTATAGGTGTGGTGGTTGCTGAGCAGTACTCGATAAGCGCTCCGCCCCGAATGCGCTTCACCTACTTGTATTGACATGGTGCCACCAAACGCGTTGCGATGAACTCGTCCACACGAGCCGCCGTTATAGCCGTTCCCTGTCCATCAGCTTAAAATCAGCGGCCATTAAGGGGTCCCGTTCAGCATTTTCTTGACGAATTTCACTGTTTCTTTGCCACTAGCTTACCATTGAGCACACACGTCCCCTTCAAACTCCCCAGGCCTTAGCGTAATCGTTGCTTTTTAATAGATTCCGCAGCAAAAGCTCTAGACCTTTAGCATCCTTTTGGCTAATTGCCTATTCCAAAATCTTCTGATAATAGATAATTAGTCGGAAAAAAATGGCTGATTGATCTGGCAGGACTAAGGCACTGACTCGCAGTCGTATGTTTAGGCCAAATCAGATTCATATACCACTACGACTCTGAATTGAAGCAAATTGCGTAGCGCATCTCTGGAGGGGACTGACTAATGTCGAAGCAATCCACGTTATCCGGTATCCTTTCATCATCTGTTGGCATTTACTGGCTATGTAAATACAAAGCGAAGGCGCTAGGTATAGTTGAGTATAAATAGTTGCTGCTTATTCTCCCCTCTCTGATTCAAACGGTGGGACAGCTAGAAGTTTAGCTGCACTTAACCTATATTCAAAAACTTAATTTTTCAAGAAAAGTACAAAAAGGGAGTAAGTAAATAAATCTCTCCCACTCTCCTATAGGGTTTGAGCTGTCACAAACACGCTTCTTCGCACTAATTACAATTTCTGAAAATTAGGATTGAAAGATATTACAGGCTTGTGTGCACAATAGTTCATTTGAAGGCGGATTTCACGATAAGGATGAAGGTCGATGAAAGGGAATTTACCTAGTGGAAGACAGGCAAACCTTCTATGGGTGACACGCCTTCCTCTCGCATCGTTTCATGTCTGAGTCTCTGAACCACTTAGTAGAGAGAGCGTTAGCGTCGAAGAGGGTAGCACCGATGATAGACGTTGCATCAAGGCGCAAATCAACGGGCAAATAAGGGGTCCCATTTCTAAGCTTCCAGGCCATTTTTCTCGATTTTTTCTTCCTCCATCTATCACTAACCATCTCCAACTCAATTTCGAATGGGTGGCCTTTTCTCGTAAAATTCGCCACTAAACATACCTGAAAAAAGAAGAGCGCTGACAAAAAGACTATTAATCATTTGTTAATTGCTATTTTGATGCTACAAAACCGTTGCGCATGATTTACAAGAGTGCTGAATTATAGGCAAAAACTTGTTTCCCTAACTGAGAATCGAATTCTGCTTTGGTCTTTAATTTGCGGGGCTTTTATGTGTGGATTTTTTTGGGTGCCGGCGGTGTTGTAACGGCGGCCACCACAGCCTGGAAATCAGAGGTGCGAGTTCGACCACCGCCTGGGAATGTTTTTGCCATATAATTTTGTACTTTTGTGAAAGCATACTACCGTCGAAACCTGTTCCTTCGTTTACGTCGTGGATTGCAAATTAGGTTCTCGTGTACAGTGTGGCAGTGTGGAAGTGACATGTGCGAATTCATTCCAATGATTTTTTCCCTCTTCAAAGAATTATTTAAGCGGCTGGATTTGTCGTCAAGTGCCGTACGGGTGGTGGAAGCCGGAGCCTTCTCTCGCCTTCCGCGACTTCATTTCGGTCTTTTTCACCGACTGTCGGGATCTCACATTCATTTCGCCTGCTGCATTTGAGAACATCAGCGTCTTCAGGTAAGTTCAATGTGCGATTTCTTTCCTTAATTGTTCAGAAGTTTTACAGGCAATAAGGCGAGGCCGTCTTGTTGCTAATGCACTTTTTCAAGGAGTGAAATGCTCACTTCGCCCAGGCGGGGATAGTGGCCTACCTTAAGGAAACTGCCTGCATGTCAAAAATTTGAGAAAAATGTTCAACTGAGAGATTCCGTCTGTTTAGCCTAGTTTGACCAGTATTGATGTTTCCTGTTTGGGATCGCTGGGTCGCAACTGCTACAAACAGAAGAGTTTAATATGAGCTATCGAATTCGAACTCGTGACATCTACACCCCTGATTTTCGCGTTGCGGTACCGGCCAACCGAGGCGCGGCCGCGAACGCTAGCGATTCGCTCGATTCGCAAAGTCTGACAGTCTCCGTACAGAATAATCCTAAAGAGTATCTGAAACCTTCTCAGAATTTTAGGTGGGGCAAAATGAAACAACGCGACATCATGCCAACTAATCACTGGGTAATTGTTCTATACGTGTTCAAATTAAAGAATTACAAGAATAGAAATAAAAATAAGCAAATAAAATAAAAAAACCCTTTTCAGTCTTGACGTTTCTGGTACTGGTCTCAAAACTCTGTCACCCTCTCTACTCTCGAACATAGCTCGGGTGAGTTTTATTAATTTATTTGGAATACACGTAATATGGTTCCGATATCTAACTGGTAGCGAATTGTTCCTCTGCGATTTTTCACGATGATACAATGATCAGAAAACTTTCTGTATTAGTATTACGCCTGAAGAGGAAAGCAGCTAGCTAAATGTTTACTATCGCTGAAGAGCTCATCATTTGGAGATGCTAGATGAAACCACGCCTGCCAGTTTGCAAGCTTTGGGACTGGGTGCCCGACAGGAGGCCCGTCGTGCGGCAAGAAGCAGAGTCAGCGGACAACATACAGCGCGTACTGTAGTGATTTCGCGTCAAGTCAAATAGATTGTAGCACTACACGTCCTACATCGCACAGCACGCGCTGCGACTCGTCCCTGACCGACTATGCTTTCTTTCCGCTTGACAAGCCTCCTTCGGGAAGTAAGTACATTAAAAG